TTTGGCGATCTCTGGCAAACCTCTACACCCCAAGGTAGAAGAGGGACGACTAAGTAAGTATGAAAGATATTACTCTATATCAGCGTTTCCCAGTCGGTGTTTGGCGGGGCCCTATTAGCTCCGCGTGCACTTCCAAGGGACTCTGCGACTGCTCCAGAAGAATAAATCCAAACTAAATAAATTTCAAGCTTCAGAAAACTAAGTAGAGTCTGCTGCCACTAGCTCCAGAAATTAATGAAAAACAACAAAAGTGAGTTGACCTGCCCCAGTGTCACGGGCGGAGTAAATTAGGCAGTGGATGCATATTTTTCCCGAAAAAAATGGGGGGGGGGGGCAAGTCTTGTTTAAATGCCAGGTAGTGGTGGTGATGGAGTTGGTGGTATTGGCGGCGGTGGTGGTAGTGGTAGTGGTGGTTGTGGTGGTAGTGGCGGTGGTAGTGGTAGTGGTGGTGGAGGTAGTGGTGGTGGTGGTGGTGGTAGCAATGTTTCCTCTTTGTGTGTGGCCTACTGCTTATACCGTTAAAGCATCGTAGAAAGGGGTTATGTAGTTTCACTCTTGGTCGGCCTCCTGCCCTTTAGCCTGTTGTTCTCACATAGTACGTTCTAGCTGCTGTCTGATGTTTTCCATTCTAAATCAGATGACCAAACCATTTGGGTATTTGATATTCTATGAAATCATTAACTGTGCCTACCATTATTCTTTGTTCTTCATTTGTGACTGTCTCTTAATGTTTTTCCAGCCGCATTTTGATACATCTTATCTCAGATGTTGTCATTCTCTGTGTTGATGTTTGACTGAGACTGCCCATGCCTGACGTTAAAAACACAATTTTGGCCCTCACGAAGCATTTATCGGCTGCTGTCTTATGTGCATGTTGATTTGTGATGCCTACAAAAATATAGTGCTATTTGGTAAATTATGTTGTTAGCTTCTGAATTCTGTTTTCTATTTCTCTGTCCATTCCTCCATTCACTGCCTAGGTACTTACTCTCTGTAGCTTCTTTCAACGATTTTCCCTCGACGGGAATGATATGTTAGACTGGTGTTCTCTCTACTGTCATTATTATCTAGGTTTTTTTCCAGGTTTTATTTTCATATTTCTTGCAACAGGTGTTGCAGGCTGTTTATGGCGGTGGAGGATAATAATGTGCGAATCAATATAATAATGTAAGGGAAACTTTGAAATTGTATAAAAGGTATGAAATAAAAATACTAAATAAAGTTGAAAGCATGGTCTATAACGGTGTTCTTGTCATTTCATACTCACAACATAACAAAACACATTGATTTTATATGCAGCTCCTCGTCAAACTTGATTTAAAATCAGGATTCCTATTGACTGTCCGTGTAACTGTGTCTCTTCTGAGAGTATCGTTTATTGGATACTGCCCGATGTAACTGACGGACATTAACTGTGGTCAGCTATTTATTCCCCCAGCTGACACGTGTAGGTATTCCGCTGAGAAACCACCGACCCGGCTGCTTCGAGATACCAGCTAAGTGATTTAGTGTATCTGTGTAGTATTGTTTGATTTGTATATGCTGATGAAGGCTCCATAGCCTCAACGTTGACGTTTTTTTGTGTGTTGTATTTGTTATATTGTGAAGCTTGCTAATAAACTTTTCGTTCGGTTTTATATATTTTCTAGAAAGGCGGAGAAAATCGCTGGTATCAGCACGTAAATGACAAAGAAGACAGCACTATACTGTGCATATCCTGAATTGATGGGGTCAGTGTTATCATAGAGGCATTGACATATGAAACATAAATAATTGAGAAACGGTGACGTCCAAGAGAAAAACCTAACACAAACGTTGGGAAAAGAAGCCAAAACTGCTGGGCTAGATTTCTTTTCTGGCATTAAAGGGATTGAATAGGATAGAAAGGAATGAAAGGATTGTACAGAATAGAAAGAAATGGAAGAATTGACTGCAAGGTCGGTGTGGCAATAATGATACAGCACGATTACGATGCTGATAATTAGATATTATACTACTAGCAGTACTCGCCACGCTTTGCTGTGATTGAGTATGAAAAGAAAGAAAATAGAAAGCGCACGTGTCTAATATGGTTATTTTCAGTCACTGTACAGATACAGAAATAGTCTGGTATGCCGACTCTAGAACACGCAACATATAAGTTTGTGTTTATATTAGTGGTCGATTAAAGTGCATTCTTATAGTTAAAAAAAAAAGATTATTTGTTTATCGCACGCTAAAGCATCTTTTGTCTTTAAACAGCTGAAAGTAAAGCTGAATGCATTACCTCTAATTGGCCAAGAAGAAAAAAAATGAGATTAGCCGAGGAAGCGGTATTTAAATATAAATATTTAAGAAATGAGAACTGCAAAATTATGTTTTAAGCTCTCTCAGCTAACAGTGTCTGTCATCAATCTCCTCACCCTCTCCACTCCCTCAATCAAATCTCCCTCTCCGAAGGATTAGAAAATCATCACCTGACGAAATTATTAAAATATAAATAGATAAGAAATTAGAACTTAAAAAAATGTTTTAAGCTCTCAATGTTAATGGTGTCTGTCATCAACACCCCCATCCCAATCATATCTTCCTCTGAGAAGGATTAGAAAGTCATCACCTGGCGAAATATAGTAATTATATTGAGCTTGGCATCCGTGTGCACCCAGACTAACATGGGTAGCAATAATCTGTACTGAGAAGTAAATGTCGCCAGTGTAACAGCTATCACATCACCCACCGAGTACCAGTACTACTGCTACCACTACCACCATCAGCTTCAAAACAAGAAATAATAAAACTGTCATTACTGTCTTTGTAGGTCGACGTAGCCAAAGGATTTAGCGTCGCATGGCTAGTGCTGTCGCCACGGACTGTTTAATTGTGCCCCTGTCATAAAAAAAAAAACTTTATCACCTCATCAGTGATCGAACCCACAGTAATATTCCATTAATTTAAAAAAAAAGTACACTATACTCACACATGGCGAAAATAAAAACCCGCACCCGTCATCTCTTTGAGAGGGACGATGTTTATTTGTCTATGGCATCCGTGTCCACCCTAATTAAAATGATGAGCCACAAAGCAACGTGCCAACAGCCCTTTTAAGGGTAAAAAAAAACCATTAGCACCCCGTGGGGAATCAAACACCGGTCACCTGCGTGACGGGCGGAATACTTACAACTATACTAACGAAGACACAAGATTTTGGTTCAGATATCGCAGCCTAGCTTTAAACTACAACGCTGCGTGTCAGCCACCCTTTTAAGGACGAACTAAAAGAAAGTATACCTGTGACATGACCATTCAGCATCTCGCCGCCACTATCGCAGGCTAGATGTAAACCACAGAACTGAGCGAAAAAAGGCGCAGATATCGCAGCGTAGCTGTAAACCACAACGTGGCAACAGCCCTTGTAAGGGCACACACAAAATTATCAGCCGGCGGGAAATCGAACACCGGTCACCCGCCTGACAGGCACTTACAGCAACGCTACCAAAGACTGGAGAATTTGGTAGAAATGAAATGTTATAATAATGCGAAGTTGAAGGTCACACACACACACACACACACACACACACACGCACGCACGCACGCACACACACATACACACACAGAGTCAAAGGTCTGCGAAAATCAGAACAAATCCAGGCCGGCAACGAAACAAATATTGATATGATCGTTGCTGGAGCTAAGTCGTTCATGATTTGTGCAACACTTACACACAAACACGCGCAAAATCAAACGCCACGTTGTGTGAAAATTTGAAAGCAATCGGCGAAGAACTTTCAGAGATTATAATTAACAAACACGGAAAATTAACATTTCCTAATAATATAGTTAATGGTATCACTGCTCAATGGCAAATAAATATAATAATCTATGTGAAACTTTAAAATATTCTGAAATATATGAACAAACACTTAGAGAGAACTTATATATATATATATATGTTCTTGTGAATTGTCTATAATAAAGTAGACATCATGGTTTATAACGTTTTCTTATGATTGGTCTTTAATAAATTACAAATTGTTTATTTCATTGTCACCCCTTTAGAAAAGAAACACAATAATTTTACTGAAGGCTCGAACCCGTGCACTCGGAACGATAGCCTAGTGTCCTTATCCGTTCGGGGAAATGGCCGTGTCCTTAAATCATTTTAATTATTAGTTCTTGTAGATGACACCGGATATTGTCGTTGTAACATCCATGTAAGAATGGATACCCAGACGGACAGAAAAAAGACACCAACAGCAAGGTACGTGTGTGGTTGTGTCAGTCGGTCCCTTCAGGAATCATTAGAAACGGGTGGACAGTACCGAAACACAGACATGTATGTAAGTTAACTGGTAGACAAGCAATTAGAGAAACAGACACAGTGATCGAAGGTTTATTTTATAAAAAAATTTTTTCACGCAAGAGGTATTATAAACTTGGATAACAACATTAACCTCAAGATTGGACTTTATACTTCGATATATGTTGTCTGATCAAGGTACACAACACGAACGCTTTAAATCCCCCACTTAGTTTTATCTCTATCCCTTGAGCTTTACCTACTTCAAACAGACACAAGCAAACAGAAGTGACTGTCGACTGTTTACCGTGGGGTGGCCTGTGTGTGCATCGATACTAAACGTTATCTACTGCCCCTGAAAGTCAAACGGAATGTTGTTAGTTTGATTAACTGTTTTAGCTCGTTTGGAGTTTGAAACCACGAGGACGTGGCGAAGTGAATTTCACCGGAACACATTTGAAGTGTGTGCAGGTTAGACGGGGTGGTGCTACGGGGAAGTATTGCCGGCTGGGAATGCCGACCAACAGATGTCCGACAACGAGGCAATTGTCGATCAAAAGGCTAAGTTATTTGGTAGACAGGCACAATGCAATGACGCCAGACTTTAGACAGTGCCGTTTGGTTAACTTGAGTCCATTGTCGTATGTCTGAAGGTCAATGGAAAGTATTTTACTTACTGAACAAGAAAAAGAAATGACTGAACTGCTAGGCTGAATGTACTTACCAGGGCCAGTAGTGGGGCGGAAACCTTGCTGGAGTGCCAGGTTGTTGAAGGTGTTCCAAGGACTCAGCTCCGCACCCATGTATGTCGGGTAACCGCCCATCCCTCCGTGACGTCCTAGTGGCGATGCGAAGCCAGCAGCAGCATCATTGCGTCCTGTTCCTTGGGAAGCTGTAGTGTTGAATGGATAGGCTGCTGAAGAATGGAGAGTGTTTGCTGGTGTGTATGCTGTAACGTCGTTTGGAGAAGTCCACAGATGGGATGAGGTTGTGGGCGTGCCCATGTTCTGGGTGGGCGTGCCCATGTACTGGACAGGAAGCATAGCTCTTGTAGAAGGGACATATACTGGACTGGTTCCTGAACAATGTCATAAGAAAAAGAAAAAAAAAAACGCAATTTCTAAGGAGTGTTGAATCGTATCATAGTTTTCTGTGAAAGACATGTTGCATAATCATCATCAAGTGTCTTTAACTAGGTTAGGAATTATATACCAGATTGTTTTTCTTTTAATGGCTTAGCCTCAACTTGCACTGGATTGTGTATATGGTACTGGTCCTAGGTTTTACAGACAGCAGACATCCCGGGTCGGTTCCATTGTCTTATTTGGGAGGGAAGGGGGAGGTGGAGAATAGATCCATTGCTTCCATAACAAGCATGTAGCACCATGCGACTAAAAAAGAAGTTTCCTGGAAGTTGCCGTGAGTCTACCTGAGAGACCAGGAAACAACATATTAGCCCGATCTATGAAATAATATAATCGTGGCTAGGTCGGGCAGAAGATGTCATTAGGCAAATATGCAGCCTAACCGACATCATACCTGGTGCAGAATGGATACCTGTGCCTCAGGCGTTTATTTGTACATTTTCCTGTATTGTCACACTCAACAGGCGATGTAGAGAAGAGAATCCTGTTGCTGTTAATGCAGAGGTCAACGCTCTCATCGGTGAAAATTCAGTCGAAGCAGATGCAATAATCTATACAGACGGATCCGTTATACGCCAAAGAAGAAGCGCATGGGCATTTACAGCACGCTCAGCGGGCAGAAACAGTCAAAGAAGCCAACGGCGCCTTCTCCATGACAACCAGCAGCATGACGATGGAGGTGATGGCAGTGACACAAGCGTTTGCCTGGCTTGAAAACACAAAAATACACCCGCGTGTGTATACTCAGTGATTCAATGAGTATGATCCGGAGGGTTCAGGCAGGTTCAGTGCGAAGACAATGGCTTGAATCATTACAGAAGTCCACTGTTCGTGGAGTCACCTTTATTTTTGTTCCGGGACACGCAGGCGTCTATGGAAATGAAAGAGCTGACAGGTTGGCTGGATCCGCTATCACTACCGACGGTCAGCCTATGGATCATGCTGATATTATCAATGCCCTCAGAGAAATGGGAAGAATAGAGGACTTTGGTGGCAGTGAATCCACATCACTCGCCAGAATGGCAGACTTGGGAATTAAGATCGGCACAGCAAAAAACGAGACGCACACCAGCTACGCCAGAAGACTTGTTAATCAACATAGAACTGGTACTATTAGCCATCGGACGTTGGGGTTCATACTGAGGGGAGGATCTGAGCACCTATGGACATGTCCGGAGTGCAATGAGGATAACCCAACTAACTAACTAACTAACTAACTAACTAACTATGAAATAGATGTGCACGCAAAACTAAAGTGATCGAAAAGGACCAGTCTCTAACAGCGGCACTTTGGTATCATTATCATCAACGAACAACCTTAGCTCTCCGCCAGACTTTCTAGCCTGTGAACGCTCTGGAAAAAAAAAAAAAACCGAAAAAAGACATTTACAAATATGCTTAAAAATATATGTTTTTTTATGAGTTGGTTTGGCACCGTCGTCTTTGCTTCAGAAGACATGTGATGTTGCCCGTTTTAGGTTGCATCGACCAGTGATGCGATTGGGTGTGTGTGTGTTTGGCAGAGGGGTGGGGTGGTAATTATTATTCTATCAGTTGATTGATTAAACCAATGACTACCGGTAGAGCAGGTAAATGAACTTGCCTAAACTCTAGGACAATTCAACTTGTCAACTGAAAATGCAGATGATTTCCTCTTGTCATAATAAAAGACTGCAGAATTTACAATTTTTTGTGTGTGACAACCATTAGACAGAAAACTAATTCTTCTCCTATCCTTCTCCTTCATGATAATCATCATTACACTCTTTCTCCTCATCATCACCATCAGCAGCTTTTTTTTTTTCTTCATCGACTTTTCTCCTTCTTCTTCTTAATCCTCTTCTACGTCTTCTTCTTCTTGTTCCTCTGCTTCTTCGTAATCGTCATATTCCTCACCATACCCAATATAAGACAGAAATTGGGTTTCTTGGGAAAAGTTAACAATATGGCCTTTGCTCCAGTCGGGGAAAACAACAGAGGAAGAACAATTTTATGCTTTGTACATTTCAGGGAAACGGTTAAGATCATCACTTCCCAAAAAGAAATAAAAATCCATAAGGGTAAAACAACAATTTGACTCACCAGAATGGAGATACCCATTCGCCATAGGGTCTTGACCGTATCCGGTCGCTGACGGCGGCAGGGCCAGGCCACCTTGATACATCTTATTGTCAGTGAGTTGTCCTTTTTGCGCTCCGCTGAAAAATTGCAAGCCTGAACTGAAACCTACGTCACTGTTTATTGCGTGCACTTCGCTGCAGAAGTCACTTAAAGTTGAATTATCACTTTTTACGTTGGATGTATCGTTACTAGATGACGTCGAATCCCTACTGCTACTTCCGGTCAAGGAATCAGCACTTCCGGGGGCACGGTAACCTGCCAAACCGTTGGTCCAAGGCCTAAGATTGCTTTCTTTCCTGGAGGTAGCTTCACTGTATGCAGTCCTGCTATCGAGGTTGTCGAAGAAGTTCTCTACGTCCTTACTGGCGAGCAAAGGTCCCGTTGTCAGCTGTACAGTGTGGGTCAAGCCAGGCTGCATCCCCTGGTCTGATCACAGGAAGTCTCTATTGTAGGAGTCGTATTCAATAATATCACACATTTAAAAGGGCACTAGTCACTATTGAGGTTCGGTGTGTTTCATAAACAGGAAACTGTAAACGGAAACAAAAGATGTGTTAGATTAGGATAAAACAAATTGATTCACTTTGGAATTACTGAGTTTGCATCTAATTGTCTTACCTCATTCACTTTCCCACAAGGATCTGCTTAATTCTAAGTAAATACAATGGTACCATCACCGCACGACCATTTGAGTATACGCTCAACTTAGTATACGTCATGTTTAGATGTGAACAACGTGTGGTACAGGACGTTAATATGGAATGCCACTCGGGTGCTAGAACATGTAAAAGTCCAAAAGAGCCATGACACAGCACGCTATCCTTATTTACCTCTCTTGAGACGAGGACACGGGTAGATGACAAAAACTTTGCACTGTAATAGCATTGTCTGTACTGCCCAGACCCTGTTACATTTCTGAAACATCCTAGGAAAAAGACAGCAGCACAGTTCTTTGGACAGATTTTTAGTAAAAGTCAAACCTCGTTAATCTCAACCTTGTGTACGGTAAAAGAAGCAGACAAAAAGGAACGACAAAAACACTAGAATTTCAGATTGCCAAAGATTTACTGAAAGGGGCTTGACCTTCCAAACAAAATCACCTCCTCCTCCCACCTTAGCAATATCCTATTATGTACTCGATTCATCTCAGCAAGGTCAAGTGAGGTTAAATTTTCATTGATTTGATCTAACTGCTTTTGCATTCACGAATTTCCTTAGGAAGCAGTGTTTAAATTAGGTTATGTTTACAATCCTATCAATGTATTATATGCCAGTAAGATACGGTTTTTCATGAGAACTGATTAATCATTCTCCGTTTATTTCCTATGCGAAAATGTGTTTGGTATACGTCAACAGATCTGGAACGTATTAAGAACGCATACCAATTGCGGATGGTGGAGCGGAATCTAGATATAGAGGTTAGCCGCGAATATATTGGGACAGCTACAGCTTTAATATACCTCAGAACTCTGCAACATGGCCATCGGCAGGTAAGAGGCTCCATTATAATTTCTCCCCCTCCCTCCCCACTCCCACTTTTGCAGGGTATGTCTCTCTAAAAAAGGCTATTCGAGTTCAACCATAAACTGATTAACGGTAGCAAGGGGAAACCACTGCTGGAGAGGCATGATCTTCCACACAAGACGGCAAGGCATTTGATGATGATGATGATAATGATACCAAAGTGCCGCTGTTAGGCAGACGTGTCTCTTGCTTCAGTGGGATTGTCATTGATTGTTTTGTAGATCTTTCTTCAAGGATAAGCCGGTGTCCTGGGAAGCAAACAACCACACAAAGTGGCCGGTGCCGCACCACTGATTGTTTAATTATTGCATAACAATGCAGATGAACTGAACACCTGTGGTAGGTAGTGACAGAACAAAATAATACTTCGGAAAAAAAATTGGTTCAACTGCGACCAATGATAGTCACCGACAGTCAAATCTGGAGGAAAGGCAAATTTACGACCAATGACAGAGACCGACAGTCAACTTTGAAAGCAAGGCAAACTTACGATCAATGACGGTGACCGACAGTCAACTTTAGAGGAAAGGCAAACTTACGACCAATGACACTGACCGTCAGTGAACTCTTGAGGAAAGGCAATCTTACGATCAATGACAGTGACCGACAGTCAATTTGGAGGAAAGGCAAACTTACGATCAATGACAGTGACCGACAGTCAACTTTGAAAGAAAGGCAAACTTACGATCAATGACGGTGACCGACAGTCAACTTTAGAGGAAAGGCAAACTTACGATCAATGACACTGACCGTCAGTGAACTCTGGAGTAAAGGCAAACTTACGATCAATGACAGTGACCGACAGTCAACTCTGGAGGAAAGGCAAACTTACGATCAATGACACTGACCGACAGTCAACTCTGGAGGAAAGGCAAACTTACGATCAATGACACTGACCGACAGTCAATTTGGAGGAAAGGCATAATTACGACCAATGACAGTGACCGACAGTCAACTCTGGAGGAAAGGGAAACATACGACCAATGACAGTGACCGACAGTCAACTTTGGAGGAAAGGCAAACATACGACCAATGACAGTGACCGACAGTCAACTCTGGAGGAAAGGGAAACATACGACCAATGACAGAGACCGACAGTCAACTCTGGAGGAAAGGGAAACATACGACCAATGACAGTGACCGACAGTCAACTTTGGAGGAAAGGCAAACTTACGATCAATGACAGAGACCGACAGTCAACTTTGGAGGAAAGGGAAACATACGACCAATGACAGAGGCCGACAGTCAACTCTGGAGGAAAGGGAAACATACGACCAATGACAGTGACCGACAGTCAACTTTGGAGGAAAGGCAAACTTACGACTAATGCATGACATCCTTCGCACTAACATGCTCACTACAATGGCTTATAATACACGCAGGCTGTTCCCTACACCCACAGCAAAAAACAAAGAAGAACGGACAAAGATCTATTGCACTTTATTTATAAACCATGTTTGAACGTCATTCATTCTGAGATGTATCACTAATTTTTTGGTATACTACATATCTTTTCTCTAGTACTTATTTGTTTTTGGTCATCGATACACATTGCACCTCATTCTTATAGTTCACTCTGAATGCACCCGTGCACTTGTCAGCTCAAATCCTTGCTGTCTCTCTCTCTCTCTCTCTCTCTCTCTCTCTCTCTCTCTCTCTCTCTCTCTTTCTCTCTCTCTCTCTCTTTCTCTTTCTATCTCTTTCTCTTTCTCTCTCTCTCTCTTTCTCTCTCTCTCTCTCTGTCTCATTGTAACCGATCCTCTTTTATTAGACTCTAATTTCAAACTACTGTGACAAGAAAGCAAGAAAGTATTTGCACCGAAATCTGCACAGCCACAGAAATAATGATAGAAACAAGAACAAATGGAGACAAGAATTAGAAGCAAGAAGAGGAAGGGGAGTCTGCACAGTAAACTGCCTACACTAGCGAAAGATAGATCGACATCTTATCTGTCAAGTACTAATTTCGCGTCTTTGCCTCAATATTCACCCTGTTTACTCTCCCCCTCTCTCTCTCTTTATCTCTTTCTCTCTCTCTCTCACTCTCTATTTATCTCTCTATATATAATCTCTCTTGTATACAAGATCGCTTATATTTATCTAAATACATTTATGCAAACTAAATTTATATATGGGCCTAATGCAAATGGGGGTCTAACACCCTGTATTTAATATCCAGTCTTCTACTTCATCTTTGTCTAAAACGCTGCCTTATTTTTTTTTATCACTGTCCCTAACTGCACCTGAGGCATCCCATGTAATACTAAAACAAGTATTTAACGATTTAGGAGAAAGACGAATGTATTGTCTCAGAAACATATAGATATGTAGTTTAATGGAAGATAAAAGAGAAGTATATTTTTTAAATATTACCCTGTCAAGGGAAGTAATAAGAAAAAAAATAGAAGGGATATAACGTCAGCTAAATTTACTTTTGTTTACTAATTATCGCAATAAATAAAGAAATGCACCATAACCTGGGCTCCCAATGGGACCGGTATATAAGGCATTGTAGCCATAAGAATAAATGCAAATTTAACCCATGTATTGGTCACGGTTTGGGAGAAGTTAACACTTCAAATGCGATAAAAACACAAAATGCAGAAAGAGTTTGTGTTGTATAGTATTTATATATTTATATATATAATCGCCGTTCTTCACCCGAAATTTAATTTTCGTCCTTCTTAGGACGTTATTTTTTGTTATTTGAAGCCCCACTCTGGCTTTTTCCAGGGGCCGCAATATAGGCAGGTCATCATTATGACCAAATGTCTGAACGCGGTTTCTGGGACCTCTCCACGGTGATCCTCATCCGCATGGTGGCACTTTGTGTCATCGGGTGTTTATCGCTTGTGTGGTGTCCTGGTGGGGAAAAAAATCCAATCCAATCCAATCCGTTCTTCTTAGGACGTTATTTTTTGTTATTTGAAGCCCCACTCTGGCTTTTGCCAGGGGCCGCAATATAGGCAGGTCATCATTATGGCCAAATGTCTGAACGCGGTTTCTGGGACCTCTCCACGGTGATCCTCATCCGCATGGTGGCACTTTGTGTCATCGGGTGTTTATCGCTTGTGTGATGTCCTGGTGGGGTAAAAAGCCAATCCAATCCGTTCTTCACACAACTCTATTCCTTACGTCCTTCTTAGGACGTGTTTTTTTTTTTTGTTATTTGAAGCCCCACTCTGGCTTTTGCCAGGGGCCGCAATATAGGCAGGTCATCATTATGGCCAAATGTCTGAACGCGGTTTCTGGGACCTCTCCACGGTGATCCTCATCCGCATGGTGGCACTTTGTGTCATCGGGTGTTTGTCGCTTGTGTGATGTCCTGGTGGGGTAAAAAGCCAATCCAAACCGTTCTTCACTAACTTCATTCTCTTTAGGACGAAATTTTTTGTCATTTGAAGCCCTACTCTGGCTTTTGCCAGGGGCCGCAATATAGGCAGGTCATATATATGGCCAATTGTCTGAACGCGGTTTCTAGGACCTCTCCACGGCGATCCTCATCTAAATGGTGGAACTTTGTGTCATCGGGTGTTTATCGCTTGTGTGATGTCCTGGTGGGGTAGAAATTCAGTTCAGTTCTTCAAGCTGCATGAACACTTATTCACCATCCATTTTAGGATGCAATTTTTGGTTATTTGAAGCCCCACCTGGCTCTTTGCAGGGGCCGCAAAATAGACAGGCCATAATTATAGCCTAATGGCTGAACGCGGTTTCTGGGACCTCTCCTCATCCTCATGGTGGCACATTGTGTCATCGGGTGTTTTTTTTTACTTGTGTGATGTCCTAGTGGGGTAAAAATCTACTACTACTATACTCGACAGATGCATCCACCAAGACTAGTCATTTCGTATCATCACAATATATATGTGCCTACGTTAGACAGGAATTTCT